CGGATTTCCCTAACTGTTGTTGTGTAGAATTGAGTATATTATGTCAGTCTTGCATACTTGTGACCGATTTAGTTTCAGTTATTATGAAAATAAAAATATTTTGATATGTTGATAAATCTATAAATTGAGTGAAGTATGTGACTATTATAAACATCAATATGTATGTTGTAAGTGATTTTGAAATTGCCCGTCCACGTTATAGTTATCACAACAGAACTGTCCTCCTTTTATTTTCTTGACTGACAACTGTCGAGAGGCCTTGTATATACATACGATTAACCGTCATGCGATAACTATGAAATATTTTGTGTCTCAAGTTATTCTATTATAATCATATAAATTGATTATCAGACATTTTTATGCGACAATTCTTAATCGTTCGGTCTATTACGCAATTGTTTTACGTTCAATACTCCCAAAATGGGAATTTTTCCAAAATTTATGGTCAGTTGTTGCACGTTTTTAGCGTGGTACTTTTTGTGCGTATAGTGTTAAAAACTTCATTATTATTAGTTCGAATTTTGCGGTTATCCATTTTTTGCAAAATAACCTAATACCTAACCGCCGTTATAAATGTCGTTTTAAAGTGTGATCTAATATTGAAATCCAGCTCTGCCAGTTCGCGCAATATTTCTGGTCCACACTAGGGGAGTTTCATATACAGATCGTTGCCTATACGAAACACGAAACAACAAATAATTACATACAAATGCATCTTCAAATTTCTATTTTTTGAAATCTGATATGATAAGTTGTAGTACTAATAATGTTTCCGCGATATTATATTATTCTCATTTGGCAGTGGTCTGCTTTCGTAGTAAAACCATTTGGAATGGAGTAGTGTCCGTTGAAGATTTTTTGAGAATTGTACATAGTAAAGTCGCAGCTCACATAACAGAATTGCGTTTTGGAAGAGAAGAAGCGCATATTGCGATGAATACTTGTAACCAACCAGTTGTAGACAACAACAAATGGTGACGGGATAGTTGTCTTCAATATATCTCGCTTAATTCAGGACAGATACCATAAACCTAACAACATTTTTTCCATCGAAAGTTTTTGTTCATTGAAAACAGTGCTTCATTGAAAACAGTGCTATCATTCTACGTTGAACGACCATACTATGGTCTTGGTTGGCTCATTTCTTCAAAATATTGATTTCCCCCATATATTTTTCTATTGATTTGAGATGAGTTAGGTACGTGAGCTGATTATATATATATATTTATTCAATGTTAGTTTTATAAACAATAAGGTTTAGACTAGAGCAATGTTATAAGAAAACATTGGTCGTAATGTTTAGCACAATTATACGTTAGTGCAAGTAGACGGAATTTAGTATTGATTTTGAAATTTGTTCTTTATTTCGAAACACCGTTTCAATCGATCATTTTTATTGAGCATTGCTAGTTTTGATGTTGTCAACACCGATCAATAATCTTTAAATGATTAGCTTAATTTAACCTTTGGGCCTACTTCGAACTTGAGGTGAGGGCACGGTCGATGCAAGATTCAAAGAAGTTTTTTTTAATTTTTATTAGTATATGTATCATAAGCACTTTGCAATTGACTATAATGAATAGGTGAAGTATGTCAATCACGTTTGAGATACCAAGTATATATCAGACCAAATCAAATCTCGGCTGACTGGATACCTAACTAACTTTGTTTTGTACCTGAGACCGTAGCCCGCTACCTATACTCAATTGATATATTCATCTGAGAATTCCAGTCATTCGCAAAGTCAGAAAACCTAAATTGGAACCGACTTGGAAGAAGTACTTAGTAACATGGACATTGTTGAATTTATTTAGGATTAACTACTTATCATAATTGCTTTATTTGTAAATATAGTATAATATGTTAGCATATGATTTTCAGTTCGAATTGATTAATGGCGCAAAAGACCACTGGTGTTATAAACGCCATAAAACATATAATAACAACACAACAACAACCGTTTCCTCACTTGAGGAATATACTAGTACTGGTTCACATTAAATCTAGTACGGATCCTATAAAACTGATAATTTGTGATGTCCATTTAACTGTGAATCCTGACTCGAAAAATATTAAATCCTATCTTTGTAAGCCTCTCAATTATTGCGTCACTATAGAGTACATCCGAAAATCTTTTCGTTCTCACCAGGTGGACTGGCATTATGATGATGATTATAGGCGAGAAAAACATTAGCTATTCAGATTTAGCAAAAAATGACAAATCGAAGTTTTTTGAGCTGGTGACGTCAAACCTTTGTGCACGATTCTGGGGTGAACGTTGTTGTTTTCACGGTAGGGTTATTCTTCACACCTCATTGCATTTCTATATTTACCCCACATAAACGACACCCGTATTCTTGAAACTTTACCCCTGTTTTTTTTTTTTTCTAAATAAATCAGACTTCTTTTGTTTATTCTTGGCCGAGAACGTAAAGCCAGATTTTGTAAGCTTAGTGTCGCGAAGTACACACAGTTTTTGCAGGCTAGTTTTGCGTGTATGGTATAGTTACGACCGTATAAAAGGAAGTATTTCAATTGTCCATTCAAAACACGGTTGGCTTTATAGAATGATCTTAAGTTTAGGCCGCGTTTTTGTAGTATGCTGAGTTCTCTAATACGTTATTGCATCAACAATTAGGTCATCTTGTAATTTGTTTGAAATTTGTACAAAAAATATAAACGATAGGCAATTGTAATATCAGGAAGTGCTATCAACTCAGGGGCGTAGACAGAAATTTTCAAGAGGGGAGGGTGTATGAAAAGTTTTAATCACCGAGTTAGACCGTAACGTAGGTTCTTCAAAAGTCTACAGGGATTAAAATGCATTTCAAGCTACGAAAAATTGCTGTGTATGTTACAGAATTTTTTATTTTTTAGCACGGACCTTGAGTCAACTTTTTCTTGCCTTTTTGAGAATGGTTTATCCTTCAAAAGGCATAACAATTTACTATGTGTTTGTGGTAGTATGTTTTTATTGAATTGATTTATGAAAAACCGCTAATGGTTCACGAATAAAACATCAGTTGTACGAGGAATACTATAAATTTACCTGCCGGCAATCATGCGCTCATTCCGGTGTTATGTCTTCCAGAATGCAGTCAAACTGCCCGAGGGAATATTTCTTGAATGAGTGACATATCAGAGCTGTAGTTAGAATTACATAAGTTATCAAATGATACTTTCGTAACTTAACAAACTGGGTCACTTTATTTAGTCAATTAATTGCAGATGCATGTTAGATGTGGTTTCCGTATTTGGTAATAGATCATTACCGAAAATCGCAGATGCTTTATTGGCATTGTGCAGATCTATGGCTATGGATCCTCTGTGAAACTGCTATATGATTTATATACGGATGTAGCCTATATATATGCGAATAGTTATGATTTGATATTGGTTTTCTGCGTTCATTTTGGCATTAAAAAATTGCAAATAAACAGTATCTTTCTGCATGAAATCTTAATATATTAATTATTTCGTTTGAGACGCCTTTAAATATAGGTTGACGTTCAACTCTCAGCCCCTCAAGTCAGGTATTAGTGAGTGCTTCGATATGAATACGTTGTTATCACACGTTTGGGCGCTCCAGTAGTACGTGAACCAAGATGGCGGACACCCGAACATAATATGTGTACCAGGTTAGGGTTAGGCTATAATTTTATTCCAGTTTTTCTTATTTTAGTTCTATTACGAGTTCGGGGACTAGCAAAGTGACTCTCGTAGAATTTGTACCTGAAATTGTGGCCTAACCCTAACCTGGTCCGCCATCTTTGTTCACATACTACGGGTGTACCCAAGTTTGACATGCCAGATTTTTGGTCTCGAATATTCCTTGATCTTAACACAAGAGCAGCAACATACTCATGATGTGGAGTCATTTTATTCATACCGGTTGCTTCCATATTTCAAACTCAAATATTTTGAAGTTACGACATCTTCAATCACACAAGCAAATATGTCTGACTTTGTTCACGTCCATGTTCACGCGTATAAATTTTCTGACCTATTAGTGACTCCGTTCATCAAATCGTGCGTGTATTTCGTGCCTAAGTTGGAAATACAGTGAAACCGACAGATATATTCAATGTATGTACAATGGCTGTCTGAAATGGAGACTTGAATTTTGTCACGGATTGAATCCGTTATTTTAATCTTTAATTGTTTTATACGTTTTCTAAGCCAAGTTTTCCAATGATATATAGCTTTCCACAGAGTTGCATTTTGAATGTATACGCAAGAGTTCGTGTCAATTAAGTTCAATCAATTCTTTCGTGTATATTACGTTCTCCAAATTACCAAAAGACGTCATCGGGATTTTGTGGCATGAGAAAAACTGCTACTTGGGGACATTGCGGCATGACCTTTCTCTGGAAAAGGAGGCCGTTCCCCTAGTATATTTCGTTCAAAAAAAATATTTTTTTTTATATTCTGACATATTCATTTTTATACCGTACAACAGCGGCAGGTCTAAATGTATTGTAATCAATATCAGGCATTTTCATGGTGTGTTCTTGTTTACACGCCGCAAGCTCAAATAAAACATAAGCCTGCGTGATATTTTGCACATAAAACTTTAAAATTTATTTAGGCGGAATAACAATGAAATAAAAAGACCATACTATGCAATTTTAGGAGTGCTGCTGCACACTAACTCAAAGGTATTTCTGTAACGTTTCGTCTGACCAAAATCAGACTTCGTCAGGCAAGCGGTTTGCAACATTGTCATCGTGTTACATTAGTGTTGGTGTGCAGCAGGACTCTTGAATTGCATAGTGTAGTCAATGATTATTTTTGCTACAGTATCCTCGCTCTATACCCATACGAATCCACTAGAGCAGGGGCATTGAGGAAGAATTGGGAGTTAGTCTCGCGTAACCTCTATTGATAGAAAGAAAAAGATACATATATTATTTTTTCGCCAAACAATCTAAGACCCGTTGAATAAGTGTTCTGATTTACACAGTCCAAGAGAATGAAAATCAGACATAAATCATTCTCACTATTCCATTTTAACAGTTCTTTTAAACCTAGATATTATATAAAGTTCAATTGTCAGGCGTCTGTGACGTCACCAATAAATGACGTCATGTTTTCACGGTTCCGACGCTCCAAATCTGAAAAACCGGTCGTACCGGAGGATGTAACGTCAGATCTACGTGGAATGCCTGCTTTGAAGCAGAGACGATCGGAGAGAAGAGAGGAATCGTTACATTCGATGATGTCAAGTTTATCAGGTGAATGAATGAGGGCTTATGCTTTAATGTTCCTCGCGTGCTGTTCACTAATGGATGTTTTACTATACTATTGCGAAAGTTTGGATGCCTATTTTGCGAGTGTTTTGGAGAGTCGACACTCAAAAACTGATTTACATGCTCAAAACCATTATTTTTATTAAAATATGCAACCACGTGCCGCTTACACGTACTGTTAGCACGTACATTTTAGCCTAGTCCAGGGCTACTCAACTATTCTTGCTAAAGGTCCGTATACAAAACTTGAAAATTTCTGGGGTCCGGCCTGGCCAGAAAATGTATTTAAAACTGCCCTAACTATATTTTTGTGATTTTATCTTCTCATTAAAAAAGTTGAGAAAATTGTGGAAAACTGAGTAACCGCAAAATATTCCACATTTTTTTACCTATCCAAAGTTAAATGGAAACAATCCTCCAAAAAAAAAATAAAAATCACACGCGGTCCGGATCGAATACTGGAAAGGTCCGAATTCTGAACGCGGTCCGCCAGTTGAGTAGCCCTGGCTTAGTCTATAGCACGTTTCCGGGGACTAATTTTCGATTATTGCAACTAAAGTAATGCTCACATGAAGACATAATGAAAATTAAAATACTTCATGTAAAACTATTTTTTGAAAACACAACTGAAAACTGACAAATATCATGCAAAACCGCAAAAAGAAGGCAATATTTACAACCATGCTTGATTATATGTCTAACTCTAAGAGAACGAAGTGCTTCAAATATTTCAATTCGTCATGATTGACTTTTTGCTGATTGGTCATTGTTACGGTAATAAACAAGGAAATCGATGCTCGGGGTAACATCCATAGTTAGGGCTGGGCGTTTCAGAATACTTGATAATTTCACAGTCGAATCAAATATTTTATTCGAATTGAATCTCGAAAACTCAAGAGCTATGTAATTGTACAGTATATATGTGACCTTTTTATTGTAATGAGTCCTTCAGTCACTTAAATTACTGAAACATAGGTTTCATCACTCAGCCAGTTCGATGAGTTTGCATTTCAAAAATATGGCTTTATTAAAAAATTGAGGGATCACCTCGACCTTTGCCGGGAATCTCGAATACTTGGAAGATATGTAATTGTATGTAAATTTTTATTTGATGGGTCCTCCATACACATATATTACTGAAAACATAGGATTCATTACTCAAACAGTTCTCTAAGTGTGCCTTTCAAAAAAGGGGATTCGCCTCCATCTTTGGCGGGAGTCTCAAATACCTGGAAGATATGCTATTGTATGTGACTTGTTATGTGGTGGATTCTACACATAACTGTCAGCGCAGACACATAAATCCATCGCTCAGACACTGACAGTTCGCCGACATTAAACCGGTTCGAATAAATTGCCAGTCGATGCGAATATTTGATAGTCCACTGTGCTGGCCTAACATTCATCGAAGGTCATTTTTCAGCGTCAAGTTTTTTCCAGCGGACAGTCAGGCCCCACCGCCTCTCAAGGGAAATAAAAATTGAGTAGGATTTGTAATGATGGAGAATATTCGAATTTCACTGGCTTCCTGCTTATTTTGCAGCTAAAACGTACAATCCAGCAAAAATTAAAATGGCGTTGTTTGCAATTGCAACAATTTATCTCCTACGAAAAAAAAGTCTTCGCGAAGGGTTGTAATAAATTTATGGGTACTTCTCTATTGTTTTACCGCAACACTTATTTTCAGTTTTTGATTCTGTTCATCTTAGTTATATTACGAGAGTTAGAATGCGGGACAAGTACTGAACCTAACTCAAGATCTTCTAACCTTACCCAAACAAAAGGATCAAAAAATTAGTGACGGAGAAAAACAGGGAGTGCCAATGTTTCCCAGTTATTTGTATATTTAAGGCTTTATCGTCAAATAAACTCATTCAATCATTGTTACGCATTTATCACGAATACTAAATATACCTGCATACCTGAAATGCCATGTTATGTAAGCACATATATTGGTAATGACGTTCGTGCTGCGGCAAGATCGTACAAAATCTATTTAGACGTGCTGTATCGACTTTTCGACGTCACTGTCTGCGCATCGATTTTTGAACGGTTGCAAATTGCACAATACTTCGATTTTGAATCTTTCAGGAAGACTGTGTCAAATTACCCCTTTTCACGTACGGCCAGATAAGTCTTTCTGCGTATAGGGTGACCCGAATAACACAGAACTCGGATAATGTCGGAGAAGCCGGAAGTTTAGGATTAATACGAAACAACATTCAACTATAGGATTTTTTTATACTTTCGAGTGTTTACTCAAGTATGTTTCAATTGAACTGCATTCTTTCTCGCGAAAATTACCAACAACTGTTCGATGTTGAATGCTAGATAGATTCTCCTTTCTTATAGTTGATCACACAACAAATATCAAACAAATATTCACTCTCGAATAGTCTCTAGGCAAGCAACTACTTTGATCCACAATGGCGGATGCACGGTCCAGATACATACAGAAATAGCGCTCCATTATATGACTTGTATTTGATATAGTTCTGAATGTAATATTGATAATATTGCCAGATAGGTTCTCTTCTATAAATGTATCAGTTTGGTACACTATTGTGAAGGCGTTCGAATAATATTCTTCCCCAAAATTCACTATACAGGCATTCATTTGGTCAGAAATCACTCTTGATGTACATTCTTGATGTATGTATAAATAGCGATCCAATACTGAAAAAATGTATAAATACATTACCATTGTATATAATATAATGTACATGCTTTGTTAAATGTATGTAAAGTTAGGGGTATTCTCGAGTGAGATCAGCCGCGCCATTAGAACAGTTCAATGTGTCTTCTTCAATCCTCTAATGCCGAAAGTTTTGCGTGAATACATAATTAAACGACTTTGTTAAACCAGACTAATGGAGGTCTGTCTGGAATGTTAATACTTTGTTTTGAGTTCCTGTATTTAATGTTACTTAACACTTATTGTAAACATATTTACTGAGAAATAATTTTAGATTTTCGACGTAAATGCTGTTTAACGGGTTATTGGCGGTGTCTGCTTACAAAATCAAATTCTAAACTTCGCAAATTAAAAAAGTTATCACTGATCTCTGGCATACTGATTTTGTTGGGTTTGGCGTTCATTTATCTTTGGCTTGACTTTACGTACACAATCAGTCAGTAGTCCTGTAGTATGTGTACCAGGTTAGGGTTAGGCCATAATTTTATTTCCTTATTTTAGTTCTATTACAAGTTCGGGAACTGTCTGTGTTAGCGAAGTGAATATACCTCCTGCCCACAGGTTTCAGTCCCTTTACACAACTTGATGTGAAGTAGGCGAAAATAATTAGTTACCTCAATATTGGTACACTCACTTATGGAGCGCCGGTTACAGTATATATTGTGAGAATAAGCGAAGCATTTCGTCTGTACGTCGTATGAACTTGGTAATAATTTCCTCGTTCATATCTAGAAGGAGAAGTATATGTCTGGTGAATGACATCAAATTGCATTCCTGCTGTAACGTAACACGTAAAACCATCTCGATCAACCAAATATAAACTACTTAAAGTATCGCTTAGTGTCAAATTTGTTCGCATTATGGGATTCTCAAAAATATACAATTTCAGAAATTTATCATTTGTGACTGATACTCTCCAAAAATGTGTCGAACTATCAATCATTAATTAGTAGGCAAGGATTAAAGTTTATACTTGAATTCGTGATATTTTAACTCTGAAACCACAGTAACTACTCGTTTTTGGAAATTCTATATTCCAATATTAGCTTTTGTGGCTTCCATGGTGTATAATAAGGTACTTTTCATTTTCCGTCACTAACTTCTGGCTGTTATATATAATTAAAACCTACCGTTGCATCTGGTAAAAAGTTTTCGTATCTTTATCACGAGTAAAATTTCCATAAATAAACAGTGTTAACATACTGTGCTGGTAGCACAGTTGAAGGCGCTGGTCAATTCGCTGTTCAACCAAAACTCAACATTTCACTCACGGCTTGTTGGATCACGAGCCTGTTGGATCATTTTGTTGTTGGTAATATGATTGTTTGGGGGAAAACAGGCTCGGATGAACTCCTATCGTTGCCTCCCAGTCATGTAACAAAGCATCTGTCCATTTATTGTTTATATGTGTTTGCATATATTGTGTGTTTTGCGGTTTGACGAATGGAATAAACCTTCTCTCTCTCTCTCTCTCTGTTTATCATCTCGGGTGTGCTGTTGTGATTCCGCCTGTATTAACTCAAAAGCTTTACATGCAATTGGCTCGTACTCAAATCTTGATTTGGAGCAAACTTGTAAAGGCTTCACTAAAATATTATGGATTATAAATTATTTTGAGGGTCATTCTGGCATGTATTTTACTCTTGCGTTTTTTTTTCTGACAGAAACTGACAACACACGCAACAACAATGGCTCGCAAATCCATGCAGTTGAAGAGGAACCAATTTTTGGAGAAATTGTATGTTTATTTATTATATTATTCATTGGTTGTTTAATCATAAATTAATCCAATCGAAAATGAGCCAACTTCGGTGTATGTGGTTATTGAATAATTTGAAAATGCGCACAAAATGCTTTTTGAAATTTTTGAGCAAGATTTAATACCAACAAACAATTGGGAAATCATGTGAAATAATGCATAACATATGTCTTTCGTGTAGAATAGTTTTATGTAAGAATTTAAAATATAAATTTGTTGCATATTCATCTATATTACATTTGAAATTTTGGTACTCACGTAGTATGTAACTAAGATAGCGGACACCGGAACGTAGTATGTGAACCAGGTTAGGGTCAGACCATAATTTCAGGTACAAATACTACGGCAGTCACTTGACTAGTTCCGAACACTTAATAGAACTAAAATAAGGACAATCGGAATAAAATTATGGCATAACTCTAACCTGGTACGCATACTACGTTACGGTGTCCGCCATCTTGGTTCGCATACTACAGGAGTACCAACATTTTTATTTAACATCAGCTTCATTTTTAAACCGGTAGATATAAGTTCACAAGCATGTTTTCAGCTGAACATCGTCATAAAACTGATTATTTGGTCAACGCAAATCAGAAACACACAACTTCATACATTTTTACCTCTTTTTACCTTACTATTCGCGTCATGATTTGAAATTCATACAAATACAATTTTAAATTTTTGATCCGTAAAGATGGTCTCGCAGTCTTTCATAATTTTTTATTGAAAAAAACAAACAAATTATCATCAGGTTATTTCTGACCGGAAAGTATTATCCATGCCCTGATGAATCTTCTAATTCGAATGAAGCACCTTTGATGTGATAGTTATTAGATATAGGTTCTAGGTAGATTTGATACGACGTAAGTGTAAGTCTATCGCTTTAAACAAGGCTCAAGGCAAAAAGCCATTGCCGGGTAATAAGCTACTATTGCTTGGTGGGAAGGGCCGGGAATGTGCTCAACATTGTCTAACCATTGTATCACCACACCGTGAGTGAGGTAGAGAGCATGAAATGTGAAATTAAATGAATGACAAATATCAAACAAATATTCTATCCTAAATAGCACTAGGCAAGCAACTATGTTGCAACCTATGCATCATGGTCATTCTTAATAAGCAATGTGAAATGAAATGTATGACGCTTTATTCGAACCACCGCGCTGCACTTAATATAATTGATGGTAATAAACATAATACTAATCGCATATTTGAAATTTAAAACTCTTACTCTTACCTTGAAGTAATTTGAATCTATAAAACACATTTTCACTTCTGTTTAGAATATTCCAAGAAATTACAAACGACCTTTGTCACCCGGAAGTATTGAGAATCGTGACGCAAGACAGTCAAACTACGTTGATAGGGTAGTTAACGGAAGAGGATCGCATTTTGTATTTGATGATGAAAAAGTTAATGGGGCTGATGAAAATGTTTTTGTTGAACATGACGACGAAGGTTGGTAATGTTGGCACAAACGTTTGTGCATTCTCTCTTTTTCTCTCTCTCTCTCTCTCTCTACCCTCTCCCTTTCTCGCTCCCTCCTTCCCTCTTCCTCTCTCTCCAGTCTGTCACGTGGCATTTTATAACTAATTATATCAGCTATGAAAATTTCCTTAATGAAGATTTTTTTGAGATGATTGAATACGCCTTATGTAACTATGAACAGAATACAATCACATTGGGAACTAATAAATTTGGATTGCTGGATTGGCGACAAAATTTGAACCTCTTTCAACATTGTTTTAGAATAGAAAGAAAATAACCTAACGCACTCACGATATTTATCGTTAACATTGGACTAATAAATTAAATTTTTGCGTTAGAACAACCCAGCATCAACACATCGTGGCGCATGTCGAAAGGTGACTCTGGATATAAATCGAAAGACGAAGAATTGAAAGAAACAAATAATAACAATAAGAGAAAGTCAAAGAAACCTAGAAAGAAAAGTAGTGAACAGGAACAGTCAAGAGCCAGCGGACTTTACACCATTAAACAACAACGAAAGGTAACATATAATAAATCAGCAATGTAGTACAAGGTTGTCCGTAAAGTCCCTTTCCACCTTTATCTTGGTCGCTCCCGGAGTATGTTCACCAAGATGGCGCACAACCTGAATCCTAACCTGGTACACATACCACGTTCAGGTTGTGCGCCATCTTGGTGCACATACTTCAGGAGCTCCCAATTTTGTTATGAAGTCAGTTCTCAATATATCTTAACCATTTTTTTTTAATCAATGATTATTTACGTATTTTACTTTATTTGATACTTCTGTGAGGGCCGAAACAATATATGGTATCAATAAATTCCATTATGGACTATATGAAAGGCATTATGGACACCCTATAAAATTAAATGATGAATTTGGTGAAATGTGTAAAATCAGTAAAAATCTAATCATAGTTCTCTCGTGGAACTTTTCATATAAAACTTAGTTGCGAGCCATATACACAAGTAAAATCGTGAATACTTCCACCATACGGTGCGGTGTATGAAACCCAGATAATAATACATTTGGAAGCTAATAAGCCATGTATTTAGCTTGAATCATTTTGACGTAACAAACTTCCCATTGACTGAATTGTAAAATTCGACATTTTCAACAGCTTAGGATTATTTGCGCTAATGATTAGGTTTCTGCGGGACTAAATACTTATCCTTTTTCTATGCTTCTGTGTCAGCGGATCCGTATGCATAAAATACAAGGGTGCTGTTGCAAGAGTAAAGATAGCTATCCTAAGTGATTCAAGAGTCCTGTTGCACACTAACACAAATATATTCCTGTAACGTTTAATCTGATCAAAATCAGGCTTCCAACTGTTTGAAATACAGGAATACATTCGTGTTAGTGTGCAGCAGGACTCTTGAATTGCATAGTTATATGATTTGCTGGCAAACAAAATATTTGATTCCTAGAGATACCTCTCAGCCATTAATCTCATATTATGATTATTCATTCTTCAGGCCAGCAGAGAAAGCGGAAGCCCGAGCATGCGAGCGTTGACTCCCAGGGAGCGAGAAAGCATTCAATGTTTAGAAGAAGTATTGAAGGATCATCCACTTGAAGGAGAAAAGTGAGTTTTCGCGATAAAAGCTCCATATACTCGTTAAGATCAAATGTGGAGAAATTTACGTTGACCCAAAGATCATATTTTTGTATATTCTCATCAGGGGCGTACTCAAGAGGGGGAAAACCCCTTTTGAAATGTAAAAAATTCTGTATCATACATACAGCGTTTGCATTGCGGCTCAAACAAACCCGACTAGTTCTTCTTAATTACAGAGATGTCCTATTTTAAACATATAACATATGACAAACACTTTTAACTTATCAAACTTTCTCTTTTCATTTAGTGTCGTGGAAGTGATCGACAGCGAGTTCTCTGACAACGATCAGTTGGAAGAAGAGTTCGATCAGTCAACCAAACAAACAACGATGGAAGAAAATGAAGAGGCGGTAGATTATGGATACGCTTCTGTTAACGACATGTCAAGAAAATATAGTCTCGAAAGTTTGGAAAGTGTTGGAAGTATTATAGATTTAGTTGGAAACCTATCCTCGTCGCCAACATCCCCTGCATACACTATTACCGACATGTCCAAGAAGAATCAGGACGTCAACAAAACTGATGACGACATTCGCTTACGTAACGGTGACGACATTACAACCGAAGTTCGCGATAATATTCATCATAGTGACGTCCAACGACCAACGAATGAAAACGCTGATGATTACGGTACCTTCGCTCATGACGTCATTATGCAGCTTGATGAGGTCATTCAATCATTCAGCATCCATACCACTGATGACGAAGCCGATCCGGTCGAGGAGTCGTATTCTCGAGAAGAAAAAAAGAGAGAGAAACGGAGCAAGAGACTAAATTCGAGAGATTCTAACACGGATGGCGAAAAAGAAAAAAAGAAACGAGAGAGAAGGAAAACGAAAGATTCTGATAGAGATAAAGAAAGAAAGGAGAGAAGAAAAAAGAAAAAGGAAGAGAAGAAAACGAGAGAAGGGAAAGATTCGAGAGAAGAATCTCTGAGGCGTAGAGAGGAGAGAATTTCCAAACATGTCGACGAAATTAGCGCTCTCACTCAGGATATGATTAAAACAGCTCAACAAGAGCAGCTGCAAGAGGAGCCAGTGTATGCTCAGGTTGATAAATCGAGAAAAAAATACGATTCCAAAGTGATACAAAATCAAGAAACAAAAACGAATAATAACGCAGCTTCCAGCGAATTAATTGATCCGCCTTCACCGTTTAGTAATCGCCTGGATACTAGCAAGGATGAACATAATACTGAGAGAGTTACGGATTTCTCTACAAAACAACACGGTTTCGGAAGTTTCATTCATTCAGATGGCCCTAACGCATCTGAAGTAAACACACCAAATTCGTTCGAACCCGCCGCCATTAAAACCAACGCCGAAATGAATACAGGTTCACAGTATCAATCAAATAGGAAATCTTGGGGGCAAATGGAAGAAAAACAAGCTTCCCCGTCGACACCTGAAAAATACACCAATTTCACCTGCACGTCAACACCTATTGCATCACCTAATCCATCAAGTTATTCGCCGCTACAAAATAACTCCAATATCACAAAAAAATCAACAGGGTCCGGGCTCCGACGTCCTGTTTCCGACGCTTCTGATTATTACGTGCGAGTTCAGCCGTACATGTCGAAGTATTTGAATCGTACTCCAGATAAACCGCATATCTCTCAATCAATTCTTGATGATTCGTCCAAAGGACTTAAACACGTAGAGGTTAATTCAACAAAAGGTAAAGTATTGCACGTCGAGCCCGCAAAACATTTAATACAAGAAACAAAAGTTCCAATGTCATATAATACACCTCCCATATCACACGTCGAGCCGCCAAAGTTACGACCGAAAAAGCCTGCAAGTGATGACGTAAAACCACGCCATGTTGTTAGCCAGAGCACAAAACAACCTTTACCCACCACCTACAACAACCGTGGAAGACCGATGTCCTTGAACCTTGATGAAAGTGGGAATCTGGTAACCCTCGCAGAACAGAAGCATAACGGAATTGCAGTGCAACCGTATTCGTCGTTCGGCAAAGGATTGAAACCAATTGAAAAACCTAAATCAAAACCAAGACCGTTTGTTATTACTTCATCGAAGAAACCGATACAGTTGTATTGAATATGAAAATTCAGACGGTAGACTTCCATATCAGCTAATATTGGACGAGGTGCTCGGCGTCGAGAATTTGCAGTTTTCAACAAGTCCGGATGCAATAGATTATAATTGACTATAAGCACTCAATGTATTAGGAACTGGCATATTGCGGAATATTAAAGACTCGGATCTTAAACATCTATTGCTGATATTTGGCCAAACCACTTAAGTTCAACTTTGCTGCGTTAGTACTTCCGTAGTGTGTGTACGAGGTTGGGGTTAGGGCATAATTTGATTCCAACTTTCCTTATTTTAGTTCTATTACGAGTTCGGGTACTGTCCGTGTTAGCCAAGTGAATATACCCGCCTGCCCATAGGCTTCCGTCCTTTTATACAACTTGATGTGAAGTAAGCGAACAAAATTAGTTACCTCCGAAACTAATATCCGGACACCGCCATATCATTTAGGCGTCTTATCCGGCTTGTGTATCTCAAGAAATAAATTTGAATTAAAATCATCAAAAGCATCAAATTATCTTGTGCATCCAATAAACCAAATGCCAAGAGGCATGTCAATGAAGATTTCAATTAAAGTATTTAATTTTAAGAATTGTATGTATGGTTAAGCTTATTTGTACCATACCGCCAGAAAAATATTCCCTTACGTATATTTTTCAAAGGACCTAATCTTTGCACTATGCTAAGTTTAATGAACTTCCTTGAATTGAAGCTCATTTTACAAATTTCGTGCTATTTAGATGATGTTCAGACGCCGGTCGTTTAATTTTTTATGTTGCCACAAATAGGTTTCGATACATCAAAATCAGACGGCTGATAAAGCTGACTTTGTCTTCCATTGGTGTTCATAAGCAAGTTCATGGATTCAAGTTCATGTTCACAAGTTCATGGTTTACGTGATTTTGAATACTTCTCAATTGAATGGGCCGTGAACATCGAATAAATCACGTATATCCTCAATGAAAATGGTAATGCGCTTGAGGCGTGATTCTCGGGATCGCTATCCACTGCCCTCCGTAATGCATCGCAGGACCTATATATAAAATCGTAGAAAAGGCATTAAGTCGCTCGTTAGAGCATAGAATTTCTCGTAAAATTTGTTTACTCTGTGGCAACGCTACAATCATGTTGTAGAAGAAAATTTTAGTCATCCCCGAAGTTAAAAATGACAAGCCTCCACGGAAATTGTGAATCTTGCATCTTCGTTTCTATTTACTTTAGTTAATTTAAATGGTGCTATTTTTATTCTGTCTCATTATTTTTTGTATATCAATATTTGTATTTTATTTTTCGCCATTGTACCATATTCTATCAGTTAGTATTGTTATTATGCTGCTTAGATTGTTTACAAATTGAGAGTCGTTCATTCGATTTGCTCATCTACAAGAGTTTTCAAACATAATGACCAGACCCCCATGGAGTCCAACCCAACATACAACTGCTCTTGGTGACAGCTATAAATTTCGATCAAAAGAGTAGAAAAATACTTGTTATATTTGCAATAAAAAGTTATAAGCTTATAAAGGACAGACTACAGATGAACTCGATTGCTTAATAAGGAATGGGGGTGAATATATTTGAATGTCCTCCTAATATTTCGATTCGAAGTATGAATAGCATTTAAAGCATTTAAAAGTGCAAAGTACTTTTTTAATTCTTCTGCCCTTTCGCATATGTTATAACAAGTGTTTATTTTTTTTTACCATTCATTTCTTTTCTGAACAATCATATCTGACCGATACGTATTGTGTGAAGTCAGATTTCATTTTACGTTTTTTGTTTCTTGAAAAATTATTTCTAAAGCCATATTTTAAATGCTGTAATAAAATTGCTTTGACGAAACAATAGTTTATAATTTATAGTGCTCATTTGAAAATTTTGTAAAAATGAATTCAAGTGGAACGTGTTTGTTGCGGCTAATACCTTTCTATCCAAGTATAAAATAACACAAGTCAGTATCTTATTATGCTGCCACGATGCGGTTTCTTTACAGTTTTACACACATTTTTCATGAATGATCGTTTGATTTGAAGTCACCCACCTCGTTCACCATGCTCGTTATGTGGCAATATCAATTGGTAAGTCGTCATAACACGAATAATTGAATAAAAAATACCCTAGTATTGTTAGAGCAGCCCCATCAGGCGACATTCAATCACGGATGATAATTAAGCCATCACTATATCAATGCTTTTTCATTTTGTTGCTATATATATGTTGAGTTTATTTTTTGCACTTTTCGTTTTGGATTTTTATGCTAAGTTGCCAGAAAATAAATTGTAAAATGAGTTGAGGTTACGAATGATGTACGTGTGAGAATGGGGACTGTCGATTTTGTAATCCTTGTGCATTCTGCAACGCATGGTCAAAAGCATTTGGTTAGGCGCGTCGAATCGTAATAATCTAATTGTTATGGGTTTGGCGTCGACAAAGAGCGAGGTTCATAAGTCATGTTATCACAACCTATTATCGGAGGGTTTATGAAAGAGTTGAAAAATTAGTCGCTGCATTTTGAAAATAGATTGCCAATTCAAAATAGTAGTTCAGTTCGAGAATACTTTAATTCACTTTCTAACAGGTTTAAATAAATTATAAAAATGTGAATAATGAAAATTGAAATATACATGCTGCGTGTTGTCGCAAGTCTTCCTATTCCAGAAGTTTACAATATTCGACTGTGACAAGACCTAAAGAACACAACTCAATGTTTTGTGCATACAAAATAACGCAGACGGACGCAACTATCAGCAACCGTACAAGACAGCACGCACCTTTTTCCACTTCCCGAGTAAACAATTATTCCAATGCCATTCATAATAGAAAAATTTCATCAAAAAACCGCGGATAGCTACAGGAGAAATTTGCTCGCAAATAAACATTCGTGCATGACGCCGAATATCTTATTTAGTATAAATATGGATTGTGAAATTGCCAAACAACAAAATTCGTTAAAAAGATAACAATGACATTATCAAAACACAGCTGGTAATGGCGAAAACGTTCATAATAGAAGCAGATGCAGTGTTAGTTCTTCCAAAACCGGTCGCGAGCAAAGTACAACTCGGCTCCTTGATATATTAAAATTTGAGCAACGTCTCCGGCCCGCTGAGAAGTACCATACTCTGAGTTATTAGTAGCTCTTTGAGGTCAATGAATTCAGTAAACAATTCTGCTCCGCTCCGACTCCAGACTGCGATTTACTCGAATATTCACTCCAGCGCGATGTTCAAGTGGTTATGGCATTGGACAATGTAGGGTATAGGCAAAAGATTACGGCGGTGTAGCGCATCGGACTAAGCGTTAGTTAGAAATACTCTCGCCACCAGCCCACGACAACTCTAATTACCCCGAGAACGCGACATGATTGCTGGACTCCTCGCCGCCGTAGGGTGGTTCACATAACCGCTGGTCGGGTACAGCTTCCTCCATCATCAAGTTCATGTATTCCAAACAAATAACTGGCTGAATAATCCCATACTCGACACGGACTGATAACCGGACGAGAGGCCGTGCTGTTGACATATGATAAAGCCGACTGTCCCAACCCTCGGAATAAATATGCAAATCCTATCTCTATATCTGACTTCTAAGCCCCGAATAACTATGGTGCCATGATAAATTGTGAAGCCAATGACGAACGTTTCAAAATTAGTAGTTCCACACGTCCCATCGTTACTCAATTAGAGCTTTGTTCTGAGTAGAAATATTTATAAACGCTCGTGAAAAATTGGGCAAAGCGAAGTTCTGCTGGTATATTCAAATAAGCCTTTGCAGCATATAAAAAAACTCTTTAATTTTGTTTACGCATTTTATCCTTTACGACAAAGTTGGCACAGTTTAAGGGACCTAGATAATTTAATGTGCGTGAAATGAGTTCACAATAATTGACTTGTTGTTAATCTAATCATTTGACAGGTGACGACAAGTAATTAGCGCGACTTCTTCTGATGTAAATTAACCACGCTTAACAGAAGATTGGAAGATGCACGGGCCGAACAATAATAACTGTTTTATATTCTGACCGCGCTCTGAAGACAATAACAGATAATTAATTTATCCCAATATTACGGGCTAATAAAACCATTAGTACGCACTGACGCTTATAATAGGGTAATAAATTAGCCTACGCCCATTTGATAATATTACTGTGATAGAGCTTGATATTTTGTCAATTTACACAGAAAAATAACATAAAATGTACTAGAAATTATGGGTATTCAGACATCTTATATATAGCTTTAATCGGGTTGTTTATTTGTGTTGCAAGTTTGTCTGAAAAGGGAGGCATGTTGGATACTGATAAAGTTACAATTGAAAAGTTACGTGGGTAACAAAACAGCAAAATGAAATAACATGAAAATCTTAGTAAACATACTGAATATTGTTCCATAGCTTGACTTGAGCGACAACTAAAATTGTACTAATAAGATTGCAAGTTGTTCGAGGCAGTTGAAAGTTACGAACGAAGTAGTGTGCGTGATTATGTTATTACGTTATGGTGACAGAATCATCGATAGCGTAATTGGCAGGAAGATTTGCTATCAATGTTCGTGCACAGAATGATTATAAATTTTAGCACTAGTAAGGGTGTGGTGATATTTCTTTGAGGGGTTGGCTCAGTTAAATAAGCCGTATTTTTTATTTAAATTGACTTGGTAAACTTTTACATGTTCATTTCAATCATTTATTCAGGATAAAAATCCGATTTGCATTTATTTTATATATATCGTTTTTGACCCCGTGCGCGGGGGAGGGGGCAGGGTTACTGGTGAATGTATCATGGGTAATTTAATAAAAGTACATAAAAACAAAAAAGAGTGCAGTTGTAGGTTAAACTAGCAGTATGTCGTACAAAAGGTTTTTGTTGTTTCATAATTATGGTGCCTATTACAGTACTAAAAGTAGTTTTGTGCACCGGGTAAGACAATGATCATTATCGAGTTATGGTATTTGAATAGAGATAGATTGACAAAGCGGACTCGTTTTTATTGGTCCATATTACAGAGGGAATGAAATTGTGCTCGTGGTAAGTTCTATAAATAAAATATTGCAAAATTTTCGTAATACAGCACCAATAAAAATAAACAATGCGTGATTATTGTGATAAAAATTTACTTTACATTTTTTTTCTATGTCTATTTCAAATATTTATCTATCTGACCTAAAATTCATTGCATGTTAGTGCGCAATAGTTCATCGCAAGTGTGCTTGTTTTGAATAAAAAGAGGTAATTTGCAAAAATACAGTTAGTCTATTACGACCGTTTCTAGGAAATATGTTCGTTCGTTTAGCGCTTTAAAGTGAAGTCGTTTAGCAATGATTTAATATCGAGGACCTTTCTCTGAAGTATATTTACCTGCGACAAAGTTTCTCCATACTTTAGTATGGCGTGTTGAGCAGACAGATTCGTATTAACGTCTCTTGGGAGGTGTATTTATCTCACCTAATGCATTGACAAGAATTTGATCATTCGACTTGTCAGACAAATAGACGAAACAGTCAAATTTTTGATAATGTTATTAGTCGAGGTAATTTTTCACGGGAAGTTTGTAATTATAATCTGTAAAATGAAGTTGTACAATATGATGCTACACCAGGGGTGGCCAACCTTTCACATACTATGCGCCACGTTTTAAACATAATGTTTCAGATGCGCCGTAAATCTCTTGTATTCCCACGCCTAATGTCCGCTTCTTGTTGAAATTATATAAATTTATATTACACACACATATATACACACGTATATGTAGTTTTTACAATTTACAACTTCACATGAATAGAAATTAAGCAAGGAAGT